TTGGGACGGCCTAAAAAGAAAAGTGGGAAGAATTTTATGGGACGAAGGGAGTAATATTTTTATATTCTACTTATTCTATTTTTTTATATTATTTTAATTTGTCAAATCTGCTCAAATTACGTCTATATTAACAAGTGAAAAAAGGGAAAAAATTGTCTCTGGCCTCTAAAACTGTACTTCGTATTATTTTAGATTTATACAAAAAAACATTCGGATTGTGAGATGTATACTACGTAGTATTTTCTATCTACATTATTGTGTTTCATTTCTGTCAAACAATCTTAGTTTAAAAAACATAAAGTCGCTCACATAGATCTTCTTTACACTATTCACTCCAATTTTACATAGCTTCAATTCAAAAGACTATGAGCCCGTTTGGTGCTCTATTTTTTGGCTTATCAGATTTATCAGCCAACTTTTTAACCAAACTCGTAACTTTTAATTTCACGTGATGATTGTGTAATAATAAGATAAAGTAAGGTTTACATTTGTGCATAGGAGAGAGAAATAACAGAAACCACAAAATATTGAATTATGCAATTGACCCCATAAATTTAAATTTTTGAAAGAAATAATACATGACAATGGTGCGAAAATAATTTTTTATACAAAGTTTAGGGTATTTAAATTACATATGAAAGTTTGGGGTGTTTACCTCACACCCCTTCAAAGTTTGGGGTATTTTTATTAGTTTTCCCTTGATTAAAAGGGAAAGTGGCAAAAAAAATTGGGACGTCCCAAAAAGTAAAGATGACAAAGTTTTAAGAGGCGGAGGGAGTATTACGTTATGCAGATAATGGAACGCGAAGTACTTTTTGGTAAAATCATAAGTGCAATCACGCCTATCTTTCATTCACAATCAACCTAGGCCAGCCAAGAAGTCAGCACCCTAGTTGCCCTCTCGATAAATATGCTCAACTTTGATCACTTACTCTTGATCAAGCAACGTAACTCACGAAATTGGTGATTGAGCAAATATCCCAGATTCATGTGCTGATGTGTAAGCTCGTTATCACCCAACAGTAGTTGAACCGCAGCATGTGAATCCACCTGAAGACGTACACGACTATACCCTCTCTCCCAAGCAATCTGCAAACTTGTCATAGCCGCTCTCAATTCAAATCTGGTGATTGAGCAAATTCCCAGATTCATGATCGAATATGTTGCTAGCAGACAACACCCATCGAAGTCACAGAACAAGCCTCCTACGGTTGCTCGTTCGGTCTCAGGAATAACAGACTGTTGGAATTGAGAGCAATCCACTCAGGTGGTGGCAACAACCAAGAGACATCCACCACCATCTTTATAGATGAGCGAGTATGAACTAACTGGTCACGTATCAAAGCCTCCTCTACCGAATTGGCCCATAAGTAGATGCGTTGTGAAAAGGCCTCAGGAGCAGTGCGAGTATCGGTAAAGATATCATTCTTGGTCTTCAAAAGAGACCAGCAGGCAACCCCAAAGAGAAGACTAGAAGTCGATGAATTCAGATGGTGTGTGATCCAAGGCATGTGAGGAGAATCACATCTCGGTTAATCTTCTGAAAGAAAGGCGAAATGCTCTCAGGTACTAACCACAAAGAGACAGTCCCGCAACACCTACAGGATTGTTTCAGACCCCAAGTGACATCTCGAGCACTCACCCACATCCACCAAGGGTTGCCGCCTCCACTCCTCGTTGGTGAGGAGTTTTCCATGCAAAGCAATCCAAAGAAAGTGCCTGATGCGGTTCGGTCCACGCCAACGCCACACCACCCGCCACTCTGGGGTAGGCTCCATGAAAGTCCCTGCACCAAGAAGCTCGTACACGGGGCCATATTCGGAAGCACCAACGCCTGAGTCGGGTTTCATTTTGAACTAGCGGCAAGGTTTTCCAATGGAAGATATTGTCAATCAATACAACAACATGGCTATTGAAGGGGGTGGAGAGGAGCTGAACTTCATGGCTATTGGAGGGGATGGAGAGGAGCTGAACTTCGATGATGACGAAGTCGATGAGGAGGTGGCGGATGAGCGGCGGGCGATATTTCCGATGGTAGATACCCTACCTACCGACCGGAGGATCAAATTTCAGATTTTCAAGGATCTTATGGCCTCTTTGTGGCGTCGAGACTAGGGCTGGTTCGGTACGGTATACCGAAATTTCAACGTCATACCGCATACCGTACCGAAAATCCGGTATTGGTAAATGTCATACCGTTACCATACCGAAATTTTCGGTATACCGAATTTCGGTATACCGAAAATTCGGTACGGTATGTAACCCATACCGTTTTATACCGAAAATTCAAAAAAAAATTCTTGGCAAAAAAAACTGATTTTAACAAGTCAAAAGTAGCATACGACATCAATACATAAACCGATACCAAAACTAAAACACAATATTTAATCCAAACTAGAAAATACTAAAATTATGTGCTAATATCTCAAATCTCAACACAATCCATAATGAAAATTAGAATATTTATCTAACATAAATCAATGATAACTAATGTTTGTAATAACAAATCTTTGAATCATTGTTGCAGCTCCGTATAAATAAGAGATTTTTCTACTTTGGTAATATGATGGTCGTCCGCCGTATAAATATTTTATCAATATACTTTATCATTTGTTTATAAATATAGAATGAGCATAGACGAGATTGTTCATATTACCAGGATGGTTAAGCTTTAGCAAATAATGTCGGTTGTCCGCTACTCCGTGCTTCGTCAATGGCGTCTTCGTCACTCGTCCGCATCTCCATCGTCAATGCTCAATAGTCCACAGCTCTGTCACTTGTTGAAGAGAAGAGAAGCTGCTTGACTCTACGTTGATTTATTTGGGGAGAATTTGACTTTGCACCCCATGTTTTGGGTGATATTTGAGTTTGCACCCTATTTTCAAAATCATTAATGTATGCACCTCAATTCACTATAAAATTATTTTACTTTGCACCCCACTCCTTCACAATTTTTGGGCTAATGGGGTGCATGCATTATTTTTAAAATGGGGTGCAAAGTCAAATATCACCCAAAACATGGGGTGCAAACTCAAATTCTCCCATTTATTTGATTAGGGATTTAGGCCTCTACTTGGGAGAACTAGAGAAGGGCCGTAGTATTATAAGATGGGTTATTTTAATTTTGGGCCTTGGTATTTTAATAATTTCATTTAATGGGTTTGGCCCTAAAAATTTACAAATTCTATTTCGGTATATCAGTATTTCGGTATATACCGTACCATACCGAAAATTAACGGTATTTTGGTATATACCGAAATACCGAAAATCTAAAAAATCCATACCTTTACCGTACCGAAGTGACCCGGTATGGTATCATACCGTACCGAACTTTTCGGTATACCGAAAATTTCGGTAAATTCGGTATTTTTCGGGATGGTATGGCCGGTATACCGAAATTTCGGTATATTTTCCCACCCCTAGTCGAGACAAAGGTGTTTCAATAAAAGAGATAGGTGAAAAGAGATATCTTTTCACTTTTTACCATATTGTGAATATGATACGTGTTTTAGAAGTGGTCATGGTTGTTTGAAAGGAATTTGTTAATTCTCAAGGAAGTTAGGCCAACAGATATTCCTCTCAAGGTTAGCCTAAATGAGGCTGATTTCTAGGTTTAGGTTCATAATGTCCCTTATGGTTTTATGAATATAGGCATTTCTAGGAGGGTTGGTAATTATATTGGAGATTTTATTAGCTTTGATGAGAGCCATTTTGAAGGAAAGTGAGATCGATGCTTATATGCGGATTAGGGTCTGCATGGAAATTAATTGGAAAGCCTCTGAAAAAAGGGATCAGCCCTTAGGAAAGGGGGTGTTGGCCACTGGGTAGATTTCAAGTATGAAAAACTCCCTAGTTTTTGTTTTGTTTGTCGGGTCATTGGCCATTCTGATAAGTTTTGTCCATTATTGACATATGAGGGGGATAATATGGTGTTAGAAAAATCTTATGGGGTGGTACTTAGAGATGGGGGAGGAGGGAAGACTAGTCCCACGGGGGAGGTGGCTAGTCGGAGGCACCTCAAGCACAGGAATGAGGATGCAGCAGATGAGTGATCTTCAAGGCTGAGTGCGTGGATCCAGGCAAAAGCATGGCAAAGGAAGGAGACTCGGTGAGCACCGAGAAGATATCGTGTGATCAGAAACGCAAGAGGATCTGGGAAGAACAGGAACAGGAGGATCCAAATGGTGATAGCATGGCTCTTGACAAGCCAATAAACGGGGAGGCGGCGGGTCCCGAACTCTAGATCCGTTGGGATCTCTGAAGCAAACCTATGGGTGTGGAGCGTGGATGGCAATTGTGCTCTTGAAGACGAAGCTGAAATTTAATTTTACTGATTTTTTCCTGTTTATTTTCCATGATCGGACTGTTTATATTTCTATTGGTTATTTTTATTGTTGTAAGACTTTTGCATTAGGATTGAATGATGAGAGATCTGTTTTGACCGTCTACAAGATCAACGAGTCATATTGCTTTTTTGAAGATTGGTTTTAAGTATGGTTCAAGGGCTAACGGTTGCTTGTGGTCCTTTTGTCTGTTTACTCCCTATAAGTGTTGTCATTTCAATTTAAGCCTTCTTCTGAAAAAAACGTGTCACAATTGATTTTATAACTATAATAATAATAATTCTTCCAAAAAAAACTATAATAATAATAATGATGATGATGATGATGATGATGATGATGATGATGATAATAATAATAATAATGATAATGATAATATATTTATGGTTGTAGGTACATATTTAATTTGGAATAACACAGTGCGTGTCGGGGGCTCGGGGGATAAACTTATTCAAAGTATTGAAAATTTGGATGCTATGTTTAATTTTGACCATATGTGATATGATCGGGTGCATCACATCGTATCTACCTGGGATGTACGCTAGCTAGCTAACCCAAACCATGATCCACTCCTATCCACTTGTGGGTCCAACCCAAAGATATCCGAATAAATTCCCATTTTAACTTTTTCATTTATATATATATATATATACTCCCAAACATTATTTGGCTCTGTCGCTCCCAAGCTAATTTAATAAGCTTGAATAAATATACAGTACTATATTTTTTCATTTTTCCTTATATATATATAGACTATCGTATGATTTAGCTGGATAGATAAATCTTCAGTGATTAATATAGAGTTCGTACATAGTCCCTACAAAGGCAAGACAGCCATTTATTTATATATAATAGCATTTCAGGCAATCTATATATCTCAGCAACTGGTCTTAGGTTGACTAGCAATTAATAATAGAATTGAATTGAATTGGAAGTGATGATGATGATGAAGGAAAGTGGGAGAAAAGGGCATGGTGGAGCTTCCCCATGTGCAGCATGTAAGCTGCTTAGGAGGAGATGTACTCAAGATTGTGTTTTTGCTCCTCACTTTCCAGCTGATGAGCCCCACAAGTTTGCTAGTGTGCATAAGGTTTTTGGTGCTAGCAATGTCAACAAAATCCTACAGGTAATTGTTTTTTAAGCTCTTAGCTACCTTCTTTTCTTTCTATGTTACATCTCTCTCATACTGTCTTCCACTTTTCTTAGCATAATTTGATTTTTTATATTTTTTAACTAATCGAATGTTAAGTATAGTTACAGTCAAAGTTGCGCGTTAACAAACATGAAAATGGAAATGTTGTGACTAGAAAAGAACGGAGAAAGTATATATCAATAGAAATATTGGCAATGATTAATGATGTCTTCACTTAGTTTGATAAAGGTCGCTTATAAATTTGCTTTTATATTAGATTCTACTCTAAAAAAACAACCTTCATGAAAGAGTAGATTAGAGCATTATATGTTAGTTTGTAGTCTGTGTACTTTTGTATGCAGTGAGTTGGATTATTTAATAATTTAGAAAATGGTTTTAGACGTGAAGTGAGATAGATGAGATTAGGGGTGATGTTGACCCTTTTAAAGTGTCATTGTATATGCAGAAATTTTCTAGTCATTTAACTTCCTAGAACAGATTGTAGCATATTAATCTCTAGCTAATTTGTTTAACTTAGAATAGATAGATTACAGAAAGTAGTACTGTAGTAGCATCTTACAGGTCTTTGATTTGTCCTTAATCGGCATCTTCTCTAATTTATCACGCTTTTAAAAAATATGACCCTCGAAACGAAATTAAAATAAAGTTGTTGGATTTTAGAATGAATTAAAGTATTTGGTATCAATACTACTCCCTCCTCCCTACGGTTCTGAATTAACTTTACACTTTCCTTTTTGGGTTGTCCCATATTAAACTTTACACTTCCTTATTTGACTTATTTGGCAAACAAATCTACACCAAACAGTGCACTCTACAGTAAAGTCAAATTTATTTCCTTAATATGTGTGAAGTCAAAGTGTAAACTTCATTAAGAACCGGGGGGAGTATTATAATAGACGAATCGAATAAATGGCCACCACAAAACATAGGTACTTTAATTTGTTTTTGTTAATATTACTCCGTATAAAATATGGATAGTCATTTGGTGGGAAAAAATACAGGACTAGTGAAGTATTTGATGTTCAATTATGGTGATAATAAAATGACAAGAGAAGTAAATAGGGTGTAGCAATGACTTTTTCCCTAAAACAAATTGAGAGTGTATATTTACTTAATTACTTCATGGTTTTCTCGACTCTAAAAAGTATGTCTATAGACTAAAACCAAGTCTTTCTTGCACTTAATTCCTCTACCGAATACTACGCATAAGTTATTCAAAGTTTATTCTTAGTTTCTTATGTACTACTCCATATCTATTAAGGAAATAACAAAACTTTCAATTTTTATCATAAAAATTACATGAGGGGGTAAAAGGTAATCAATATACAAGTATCTACTTATATTTACGAGTTCATTCGTGATATGTTGTGAAGACAATTTTGAGAGAAAACTTGCATTGCCGCTTTAAAGACATACACAATGCAACTTTAATGGTGTTAGGATTCATTATCAATGCCCTAATTTTAGTTACTTGCTGAATATGTCTTGTAAGTTGTAACTAATCAATTTGTTTGGGTTAAGGAGTTTTCCGTCAGAATGTACTATGTTTGGTCTAAATTTTGGCATAAATTATACATTATATCATAAGTCATTGATGTGGAACAAATAAACTTATTAATTGCCGATATGATAAAGTAAAATTACGTGACTAAGAACAAAGATAAAATTTATGGGACTAAATCAGCAAATATTACTTCCTTAATTTATTCAACTGACATGCAATTGTAATTTGGGACACTCCGTTTAGGAATTACCAAAACATTGGCGAGGCGATGCAGTGAATTCAATGGTGTATGAGGCAAATGCTAGGGTTAGAGATCCTGTCTACGGTTGTGTAGCAGCCATTTCATGCCTTCAAGAACAAATTGACCAGCTCCAAACACAGTTGGCCATTGCGCAGGCTGAGATGGTGCACTTGAGAATGCGGCAGTTCTCAGCCATGTCAAGTACCAGCTCCGCTATGGACTCACCGGGAAACGCCGTTTACGACATCATTTGATATAGTTAGATGTAATGGGGCTAGCAGTCTAAAGATTTGCTCACATATATGTCATATGTGTGTCAGTCTGTTGCAAGCTAGCTCGCAAGGCTGAGTTGGTCAATATTTTAGCATGCAAAGGCAGTTGACCAAGCCCCTTTTCTACTTTTGACCATAGAAAAGTTAAAAATAATGTTTTAAAAACATTGTTTCTTAATTTTGACCATTTTAAGCAAGAGAAATGATGCTTAAAACTATTTAACTTTAGTAATAAAATATTGCCTAAATAAGTATGAGGACCATTATTGATCATTTCAACTTCTAATTTTTAAGCATTTTCTTTTATACTTATTGTGCATTATGGTCTCTTTTTTATTTTTATCATAATTCACTGCCCTAATAAAAAATCAGCCGTCCTGGTCAGGTTCCGGAACCGGGACCTTGTCGACCCATAGTGGTATATAATGCAACCTAGCATGAAACAACTTGCATGCAGCCCAACACGGCAACACATAATGGAACCAAGAGTACCAACGCTTTATACCACAAACATACTATGTTAGTCTTACATATCACATCCAAAACTTTACTTGCTGTAATAGCACTACTTCGTGTCTGTGTCTTCCCTTTGTAAATGAACCACTACTTATGCATTTTACCCTCGTAAGAGATGGTGTGTGTTTTGCTTTGTGGTGTGACTGGTGTCGTTAAAAAATCTTTATCCCTAGAGGAGTCGATGTGTTGTTCTTGGACAACTACTAGACTGGAGACCATGAATAAATCATAATCTCATGATGCATCAATGGCAGCATGCTCAAGGGCCTTTGGGACATTCAAATTGCAGCGTTGACAATCATCATCCCCTTGACATGAGACTGGTGCTTGGGATATCACTAGGAGTGACGACCGCTGAATTGATTGATAATTAAAAAATGATGTCAACCAAAGAGGGAAAAAACCTCAGAAACATGTAAAAAAATACTTGCCTATATGCTGTAAAAACTGACCTTCGTTCCAGCTACTATGGTGCCAGTTATGGGATGAACTGTGCATGCTGTAACACCCTCTCTTAATGAGATAAATTCATTTCGTCTGTGTTGACTTTGTACTTGGCTTGTGCCTTCTATCTCCTCACTATATAGGCAAAACAAAAAATCATGCATTAATATCTATGTTGGTCATATGGGAACTTGATTGTAGGATGGAGTATATAATAGAACAAAGTATACACCTATGGGGGTTTGCGACCAATACTGATGTGAAAAAGATTTAGAAGTTCATACTCAAAATCTACATGACATGGGGAGCTACAGTCCGGGTAGAAATCCAAAAGGTGAAGTCCATCATCTGATCCAACTGCATAGATCTGGATTTAGAAGTACCAAACAAATTAAGCTCAGTGAACTTGCACTTCAATGAAACACTAATCATCATCATCATTACCCCAGTGCCGCAAAGGCTCCCACCTACGGTGGGGTAAGGGGGGGTCGGATGTACGTAGTCTTACCCTGTACTAAAGCACAGAGAGACTGTTTCCGAATGACCCATAGTGAAAATCGCGTCGAAAAATACATGGACTGACTGCTGCTTCACAATAAAGAAGCACAGACAATTAGTGAGTCATTTTGCTTTATTCCATCATATTTTCAAGCCAAAAAATAGTGAATCTTTGGCTCCATTGCAAATGATGGAAATTTCAATGAAACACTAATACAAACCATAATTCCAGCAAATTGTAGCTGAATAGAGTCCATACTGAAATTGATAGTGGTTGGAAATCATAAACACAGACAGGAGTCACAGGACAACCAACTCAAGCAACTAAGATTCCATCTTGAGGTGAAACGAATTAAATAATTAGCTAAATTATTAATCGAAAATAGTAAGTGGTGTGCATGGAAGATAATATTATGTGTTTGTGTGTTAATGTATGAGTACACACAGCTCCTTTTCCAAACTGTGGCACGGTTCTGTACAGATGATATATTCTTATATTACCATGTGCCATTTAAACGCTCCTGCCCTATTCCGTGGCCCTAATCGTATGTCTGAAGCATCTTGCCCCCACATCAAGTATCATTGAACACATATTTAATATTTGGTACATTTGCGACCTAATTATTGAAATTACTAAAATATTTAGTGTTTCAACAAGTATCCTTTTTTCAATAGTGTACAGATAATAAACAAACGCCATTTCTTCATGATCTAGTTTTTAATTTTCAAGCTAAAAACACTACTGAACTAACCCTAAATTGTCTCTTTCCACCTATATTGGAAACATACATATACTCTTCAATAGGGAAAATTGTTTTCAAAATTTATAACTAGTCAACATTAGTTATAAATTCCTTAAGCGGAATAACCACTTGAGGAGTGAGACAATCAAGCGAAAAGTGAGTAGCACTTATTGAAGATAAGCTGTGAGAGTCTCAGTTGTAGTGGTTTAGTCATGTGTAGAAGACCTAGTGTTAATGGATTGAGAGGTGTGGAGAGAAGGGAGGAAGGAGAGGGAGGGGATGATCTAGAAAGATGTGGATTAAAGTGGTTAAGAATGATATCATAATATCTTAGATAAGAGCGACTTTGGAGAGGGCGAAGTTAAGTGAGAGTATAATTGTGGAGGATTGATCTTATTGTCTCGCTTTCTCTATTTATTGTTTTGAACTCTCATATCATATATCTATTCATGTTAGCCGATCCCAAACTTTTTTTGGAATAAGGCTAGGATGTTGTTGTATACATAGTCAACGCTCAACGAAAATGGAGACCACGTATGCCATTACAACAATGACAACCACTGCAGGAAAGTAGGAAACTACCACCATTGGCAGCAACCTCAGCAAATAGCAGAAACCACCACCACCGATTGCCACTGCCTGCAGCCACTGTCAAAAAAGCAACCAACATAACCACCGGCCACTCGGTTCCGACAATCAGTCACCGTTAAACTCACCAGCACTGCGATACTGCCATCACCGTCATCTATTTCAACAACTAACCACATCTACCAGTGCCTTCAAACACATCAACTATCAACAAGTCAACAACCACTGCTCGCTAGTATGAAGTATTGAAAGGTATAGCCATATAGGATATTCAGTGTTAAAGCATGTACTAGTAGAGAACATGAGAAGTGCTAGGCGGGGCCATACTAACTAGGGAAACACTCAAACACTGGGCTTAGGGATACAATACATTCAAGACTCCACAAAAGCTTGAGCATAAAAGCATAAAGCATATTGACACAGCTTGTTACAAATATATTTTATCCTAGGAGCGAAAAGAAACTTAGTAAAGACATGAGCCAATTGATCAACCGAATTAATGTATTTAAGTTACAATGCACCCTGACATTATCTTCTCCCTCATCAAATGGCAATTAAACTTTATATATCAAGTACTTTCACTGTACACCAGGTTCAATTATATAAGATCGCATTTAGCAAGATTCATAGCATGTAGAAAGAAGAGGGTTGTTAAGAAGGGATTGTTTGATTAGATTGGTTTTCAGCAGATGGATGGACTAAAGACCTTAACTACCCATCATGGGTGCAAGCAACAAATGGAACTGGCATTATATGGTCGCCAGTGGGTAATGATCCGATCTGTAAAAATCACTGGAAAAGATTGCCAGGAAATTTGGTGGTTGATGCCGGAACTCATGACGGCACGTGGGATGGGTGGTGATTGGAAATTTTTGGCATTGTTTGCTGGTGGTTTCTAATCCATTCCCTGACTATCTTTATCACACATAATTAAAAAGTAACTCCCTCCATCTCAAATGAAAGTTACAGTTTGACTTTTCAAGTCAAACGTCACCATATTTTACCACTAGCTTTCATTCATAGTATTATTTGAAAACATTACTCTTGACCGATGTATATGACATATATATCAAATCTATAACTCTATTAGTCATATTTAAACTACCATTTATCTAAGTTACATATGAAACATTCAACTCGGGCATTGTTTAAAGACAATCCACTCTTTCTATTTTGTATTTAGTTAAGCTTCAACCCCCCTGAATCGTTTTTCTGGCTCCACCACTAGCTATAGGCATCCTGAATTGCTCAAGGGCAACCGTTTTCATCAATACAATTAGTTTATCATAACTGCAAACAACGCTAAGCACCAATGGTCTAGATAACTCCGTATCTTATCTACAGATCAAACAGATATTAGACGTTACACATCCTACTTATTTTTTGTTTTGAACTCATTTTACTGAATTAAAAAACACAAATTGAACACAGGTCAAAGGTATATAAAACCATCAGGATAAAATGTATCAGAGGCTATAGCATCTTACTGAATAAGAAGGCAGCCATGAAGGCTTTCGTAGGTGGCCGAGGTTTCCCAAATCATCATGGTTATCTCTAGTTCAAATTAACAGAAATCCGTAAGAAGCAAGAAAATTGTTTTCATTAGGTCAATTCAAGAATGAAGCATCTATCATACCGTAACCAAGCTGGAGGGGGGCAATGCACATGTGTTACCTTCATACAGTTGGTATCAAAAACACCAGACCTGTGAAAGAAGCCACAGGAGAAGCCTAGTAAAATGCATTAGCACACAGCATATATCAATTGAGTATATTATGGATTGCACAGAATGTCAGACATTAGCTAGTGTTCCCCCCAAAATTTTATCTAATGTTCCCATATGAATGAAATAACATTTTTAGATTATATCTACTTCTTTAAGAAAATGTGAGGATACCATTACTTCATAGTTAACAAATTATATACATCATATATTCTGAGACATTACATCCTATGAAAAATTAAATGGGCTCAAGAACAGTGCGTCTACCATCCATACCATAACAATATTGTTATACTTTAATATTTTGATTTAAAATATTACAGTACATGTCTAGATTTTAGGTAGATTTAACGGCAAAATTCGGAGACCACAAAGTAAATCTAGGACATCACATGTTTGTTTATCCCAAAACTCAATTAATTGAAAGTCAGTGCTGAAGGTCCAAGTCTGAAGGAGATGAAAAATGGCCTTAGAGAGATCTTTTATGTGATTTTACGAATTTATATACTTTGTATTTCTTTTCAAACATACCAAGCATCATCAAGATGAAATGCCAATTGATATTGGCAAGATGGATTAATGTCAATGGAGTGTATTTCCTTCATGCGAACATTAGACTGAGCCTGCAGTTTAGTGTTAAGATGAAAGTCATTAATAGAAACGGCCATACAAAGTAAAGCAAAAAGTCTGCTTTTTTTCTTTTGAAGTTAAAGTACTACTTAGATGCACCCAGGATGTACTCACTA